GATCCTCCTTCTATATACCCTTTGTCCTTCATCGTGGTCATGACCCTGACCCCGATGGTCGCGGCCGGGTCACGAATCTGGTCCGGATGGTCATGCATATATTGATGACCATCTTTCTTGGCGTGGTGTCGGTCATGCAGATATGCATGACCGGTACGTACCTTCCTTATCGTCCCTTATCGTGCTTACATAAGAAACCTGTGACGGTGCTGCCACATGATCCGCCCTTGTCCTTGGCCCGATCCTGTGGCCTAGTTGTTTGGGCTCTTCCTTGCCCGTAACAAACATCCCCTGTTGGTTGGCCGTCACATCTAGACCTAGGTATTACGTACGACGGTACTACCTACCTGTCACGATCCGATCTCCGGGGTCAACCGTCTGATCGGGCGCTGTGGGGTTTATGTTCTGTATAAGGCAGGTAGCGACCTCATGCAATACTGACTCCGTGCTGTCGTGTCTCGTGGGGTTGTCGTTCGTGTCTCTTGCGAGATATCACACTTGGAATCAAGTGAGTGACTAGGTCAAGTGAAGGGTAAGAGTGATACTTAGATTGATCGCTGAAGTACAAAGGTAATGACTGTCTATCTAGGAAATCCTTCGCATTATATCCTTTGTCCTTCATCGCGTGTTCCCGTTGGATCGTTCTGGATATGCGGGATATGTAGCGATCCGCCTGATCCAACATATCCAACTGGATATGTCTGGATATGTTGGTTTCCAGTTGATCCAACATATCCTTCCTTGCTGACGTAATGAGGATGCTTACATAAGAAACCGGGGGTGCGTGCCCCGCGTGCATGACCTGCCCTTGTACTTGGCCCGATCTTGCGACCTGTTGGTCGGGTCGTCACATAGTAACTCTCACACTCCTTTACTTACTTATCCCTTATTATCAACCCTGCACCTTATATAAGGATAAATATCCTTATATCGGACATACCTTCCAACACCTTCCAACAGGAGGTAACAGGGGTCCTAAAAAGAGCAGTTTTAGCGATTTTGGTGGGGACTTGGTGGTCGCGAGGTACTCTGGTCGCGAGACGGGGGGCAGACTTATTTATAATGTAAAGACTTTATTCCAACGTCATGTATCACTATGCAATGCTACGAAGATGTATAGTGAGTATGTTCTCCCTGACCTGGTTGAGTCCATTTGCAATAATCCCAACAGGTCTCGTAGCACGGTTGTCCGCAAAGTACCCATTCCCGCGGCCCCAATGCTCTTCAGACGATGGGAAATACATAGCGTACATTAACGAAAATAAGAGGGTCAGGTCCTTGCTCGGATGATTTCGGCGTCCCCTGCAAGCATTATCTAGCGGAACCAAGCCTCAAGCCGCACCGGTAGTGTAGCTGTCAGTGAGATGACCGGACAGCCGTACCGGTAGATACACTTCAGCTCCGTAAGCCGCTTTCGATAGCTAGCGTCCATAATAATCGTATGGCACTCGTCGACAAAGAACCGCTTGAGCAGACCCCGGCTTCGCAGCCAGTCCGTATAAGTCGAGAACTCTGTGCTATTGACCTGATCTGCACTGACGAAGACGAGCCGTGACACCCGCGGCTTCTCCTCTCGCCCGGTTGCCTGTGCTGGCTGCCACTGCTGACAGTCTAGCCCGAGACCAGCTGCACGTCTGACCAGATCGCTAATTAGTGCCACAAATGGTACTATGACGATGCTGATGCCTGCGTTCACGCCGCTCATGTATGCTGTCAACGAAGGGCATACAAAGGCAGTGCGGCTACTAATAGAAAGAAGTGCTGATATCAACTTTCGTGGTAACGTGGGAACACCATTAGCTTGTGCCTCTGAAAACGGATTCGCAGATCTTGTGCAGCTACTGCTTCACAAGGGCGCCGAGGTAGATTACCCGGATCGGGCCGGCCGGACGCCACTCTCATGGGTGTCTAGCAATCCGCACGACGAGGTAGTGCTGCTACTGCTCAACAACGGCGCTGAGGTTGATCGTGCAGATGAGACCGGTCGGACACCGATCTCATGGGCTGCCGGCATGGGATGCGAGCGGAATGTGATGCTGCTGCTCGATAGAGACGCCAGAATTGACGAAAGAGACTCCTTTGGTCGGACACCGCTCGCATGGGCTGTCTAAAACAGGGCCGAAGCCGTCGTGCGGCTGCTGCTAGACAGTGGCGCAGAGCCCGACAGTAAAGACATTCATGGTCGGACGCCGATATCATTAGCTGCCGAAAAGGGATACATCAGCATTATAGATCTGCTGCTAGCGAGAGGCGTTCAGGTGGATAGCCGAGATATTGATGGAAGACTCCATTGTCATGGGCGACATCTTGGGGGCGTGGCGACGTTATGCAGAAACTGCTAGATAGCGGCGCCGACATTGATAACCGCGACGAGGATGGTCGTACGCTAATAGACTTGGCCAGGATAAGTAGAAAAAGCAGCACAGCTTCGCATTGCGGCTTAGCTCCGTGCGGCAGGTATAAGCCCGATTGATTGAATATAGTAGGAAAGCTATGGAGACGAATAAAGAATTGATAATAACCAGCAAGACGAGATGTTGAAAGTACGTCTTTATCCGGGCCGCTGTCGCTTCGCGGGGCGTCCAGGTAAGCCCGCCTCACTTCCTTCTGTCCCAAGAGTCTCTAACAGCTCGGGGTATTGCTGCCAACATCGAGGCTGTGTACACGAATGGCCAATAGCTTCGCCCCATTGTTCTTGAACGTTAGTAGAGTTCCCCTCTGAAAAGCTTGACGCATTCCACAATCGTGTGACTTCATTAATGAAAAATCGCCCATCGGTTGCGACTTCTGAGATGCCAATGTCGAGACGTACGCCATCCTTAAGTGAGCCAAGACCAGGTTCAAAATCGGCAAGCCTAAAAAGAATGGCAAACCACAGAGAGGCGAACTGCTTCAGTTCATGATACTTGCGCTTTTGAGCGTGCTCATCCCCAACTCCTTCCCCAAATATTTCGTGACTGAATGGACTCTGATTCATATCCGAGAATTGAACCTTGCCGGCAGAAGTGGTTGGTCTGGTGATGGTGATACTAATGATCTTACCTGGGGGAATGAGACCGTCTATAGCCTCTTGAGATAGATCACGCACCATACAGACCCGAAGTTCGCCAAATTTGACTAATGAGTCGACATACTCTTGGTGGAAGAGATGGTTCCTGGGCTGAATATCGGCATCCCATTTGTTCCCAGGGATTCGGCACTTCAGTCCCTTGCGATTGCTGACTTTAACAAGCTTGACTCCCTCTCCACTGCTGCTATGTGTCGGCTTGATAACCATGCGGCCACCATGAGAGGGTGGCAGGTTACACGTCGCCGATAGCCCACCATCGCACGTTATGGGTCGGTATGCGAGCCAGCTCATTCCTTGGCCGTCGAATTTTGCGGCGCACTCGTCGAGGATTCTAAGATCGCCAACTTTGCTTGCCTGGAATGTTGCCTCCTCCGTGGTAGGATATGCTTTAATAAAAGCATTGTTGTCCATAAACAGTTTCATATATTCGCAATATTCATTGAAAGAGGGCCCTTCCGGCACCAGGATGGGCGTTGACATGCATCCGAGAAGAACGAGCTTCTTCCTTTCAGATGTGGCATCGGCAAGCTGTTCGCGAAGGTCTCGGAACAAGTCTGCACTCCATGTTAAAGTCGCCGACATCGTAAGGCATGGGTTCTTGATGGTTGCCGAGATCGCCATGATCAACGGCTCATGACCCATACGGTCTCGTCATCGTCATGTTCTTGGTGTTTGAAATGCGGCTCGACATTTACTAGATCGAGAGCAGACGACTTTAGCCTCTTCCCCACCTGAGACATCGGAACACCTAATGGTATAGCGGAGTCAGATCGACCCTCCTCAACCAGGGGGCCAAATGGGACTCCGAGCCAGATCATATCGACTGGAAGGGGTTTTGGCTCCGGACGAGCGGTAAACTGGTGGTTGTGGCTGATCGTGGTTGAATATTGTATGCGGACCACCTCAAGCGAATCTAAGAGCGGAGGAAACTTGTCGACCACTCGTTGTGCGCTCCACGCAACGGGACATTGTTTATATCCGCAGACATAGAATCGGGTCCTCTCCCTCTTCTCCTTCGTTCTGGCCTTGTATCCATGTCGGCTGACAAACACTGACACGATCCGTTCTAAATCTTCGAATGAAGGAAATGTCCAACCGCATGGTGGGGCGCCGTCACTTTTATAGTCGGTCTTAGCCCGGCCCAGGGCAAAATACTTCATAGCCTCCATAGGCAGTGATAACACGGAGAATGAAGACGCAAAGATGATTGAGAGACGTCGCTTTGGCCAAAAGGGGGTTCGCGAAATGCGGGGCGCTGGGGAAGTTTTCCACGAGCGTGGAAGCTTTTCCACGGGCGTGGAAATTTTTCCACAGCCGTGCCTAAAGTCGCGTGAGTAGCGGTCCCAACCACCCCAACACCGCATTTAAGATTACTGTACTACAAACAAACCGCTCCAGCTGGGCGAGACGAAGGGTGGAGTCAGACGCTGGGGTCTAGCCGACAGAACGTAAACAAACAATTGGCTTGGCGTCCGTTCGCTTTCTAACGGGATCAACGGGGACCTGGGCCAGATACGTAATAGCACCGCGAAAAATGGCAGACAGGTTCGAAAAACCTTAGAAATAAAGACGTGCCATCATGATCATCATCCTTCCGATTGGGCTTGGCATAATCGTGCACGATGCGTGCTGCGCGATGGCCTATCAAAGACCTGACGAATGTTAAGCCGCGTTGCCCCACCCCACTTGCCACTTTAGGGAGGAGGAGCTGGCAGGACATGGTGGATGTTGTACACATGCGACAGAGCCGCCCCCGCCCCAGTGCTGAAACAGGACTCCACCACAACAGCGGTGAGCTCCCTCGGTATTCGATCACGGGGCATCCCACAAGCTCAGCACGTCGGACTGGCTGGGCTTGTGGGCCGTCGTCTTCGGCCCAAAAGAAAAACAAAAATACAATTATCTACGGCTTGTTCGGGGTGGGACATCGGCCACAGCGCACCATGCGGAACGCCGCTCCGCGTCCCTGCTGCAGGAGAGGACGTGGTTCGACGCGGACTTAAACTTGCATGAACAGAGGGGCAACAATATGTAGGAAGTTGTATTACATACCAAGTGGGAAGAGCGCCTGGTAGCGGCTTACTCCTTGCCGCCAGATGGTAGGGGAGGCAATTAGCTAACCTTCGTCTCGCTAGATCAGGTCACACATATTGCTGGCTGAGACAAGCAAGGTTCGGGCAAATTCTTGACAGGAAGTGTAACTAAACGAGAGATACATTGACCAGCTTTATGTACATACAAATGTCAATTCGCCTACGAATGGCCCGCACCTACACTGCCAGACACTATGTCTCACCTTCCCAGACCGCGGCGAGGAGGTTCCGTAGGGCAAGATATCTATGGGTACCCTTGACATTGTTTTACGAACGTCCTTCCCATACACATAAGACATTCTTGTAGAGAGTATGAGCCGGGAATCACCGCACCCCGCAACTCACTTGCGACATTACAGAAGGTCCGCTATCCACTTGATTTCTTCGTAATGGTGACCAGGAAGGGAATCGAGCGGCTCCGCCCAGGGGATTCCGAACCGACGACGCCACGTTGCAGAGACTGCCGCAGCCACCATCTGGCTCGCAGAGCAAGAGAGGGATACTGGCGTAAGAAAACCATTTGATTTGACATCGGCTAACGTCGATGAAGAGACAGGACACCCTCCAACCCCATCCGGCTCTGGGCTCGGGAGGCGGACGAGTCGAGCTTTCTGAGGCATCGGCGCGTCTCCCGGCAAGGATCGGGACAAGACTATGTGCTCCAGAGAAAGTGCCCTCAGGGAATTGGTTACCACTGCCCTTGCTGATGTTCACGGTACCGCCAGGAGCACTGCATTGGTCGCCAGGACCATAGCATAAGCGCAACTTATAGCTCTTTTCAGCCCCACGCGCACCCTTGGCTGTGGGAGCGCATCGGCAGCCTCCCCACGCCTCTGTCAAGAGTGATTCAAGACTTTAGTCACGCTTCTTCCTCATAGTGGTGGACGACTGGTAATTGGGAATATTCGTAGAGAGAAGAACTTGTTTTGGAGACAAGAAGTCATCAAAACCTCCGCCACGGCCATGAGAACCCTGCCACATAGTGGGTCGCCTTAGGCGCCTTTCAATTTCCCATGTGCCTATCCAAATCAGGAGAGCCACAAAGCAAATGTCCCCAGACGTGGATAGAGAGTCTAAGCCCCAAAACTTGTGGGCCCGGCCGGGGTACTATTCAACCTCACTCCCAGGTTCATTTACCCTTAGGCGATCTGGTTGTCAGACGGGACAATAGACACCCACATTCCCGACATGATGACAAGAGCTAGGCAAATGATTTGTACAGTAGTGAAACGACCTTCAAAATAGGAGGCGAGCCTAGCTCCCAATACGGAAGCTCCAAGCTTCCCTGTCCCTTACATGTAATACACCGTTAGCCTTCGGTCACCGCTGACCAAGTGCCATGTCTCTTGGATCGGTCCTGATCAGAGTAACTTGGATCTGCTTCCTCCCAGTAATTTGTACCCCTGCTGTTGGGATTTTCAAGATGTTCCAATTAGGCTAACCGACGAAGGTCTTTTCCTGCGTAGGTGAAAGAGGCTGAGACCAACTGCAGGGGCATAGCCGCCCTCGTGTGCGAATTGTGGGTCTGTATGCCGACCCAGGCTGATTTGGCAACAGAAATGGCAGATGGTTGCAATGTCGTTCAGCAGTATGCCTAGATCTGGGGCCGGAGCAAGGGACAAAGATTATCAGCCTCGATATTCAGTGGGGTTTGAACGCATTTGAAGCTATTTTGCATCCGACGGGACAACTTACACGGCCGAACCTTCCTTTGCTTATGGCCGGTGAACCTTGTCAAGGTCAGTCTTTCTAACCCTTTTAGGGCATCTGGATCGGGTTCAACCTGGTGGTCTCGAGGGGAACGCACCAGTGTAGGCAGCAGGAATACGGTTGAGACCCTGTTTTGGATTCCTTTCTCCTCCAGCTCGTTCCACAAACTTACTGTAAGATGGGTGCGGTCTTATTCTTTGAGCAACTTGGTCCTCGTCTAGACCAAGGCCTCGTCGACTCGTATGTCGTCCTCAAAGCTATAAATGACCGGCTCTATCCACTGGCTTTTCGCAAATTGAACAGCAATCACAGCCTACAACATCTTCTCTTCCGCACCGGACCACAATTATCAGAGCAGTTCTTGCTTCTCTCAGCGTACTTCACCGCCCAAGATGAAATTCCTTATCGCGTTCCTCGTCTCAGTAGTAGCCTTCGCCTCAGCTGCTGTTATCGACCCGGAGATCTCGCTCTTGAGGCGTGAGCTTGAGGACGCCGCCGCCACTGTCGATGCCGACGTCGATATCGCCGACCACGCGCTTCCTGATGGCAGCAAGAAGTTCGATATTACTATTGATGGCGTCTATGAGGGCTCTGTGATTGAATCCCAGAACGGCACAGGTGCGCTTGCTCTTCGGCATGGCTTTTTCTTAGCTCTGCCGTGTTACTGACGGCCTGAACAGTTCAGATATTTGATGTCGACGGAAACGAGATTGACGCCGATGACCTCGATGAAGTCGATGAGACCATTTCGGAGGATGGCACTGTTGTGAAGCGTAATCTCTTCAAGTTCCTTCGCGCCTTGGCTGGACCCATCAGGAAGTATGGCTCTAAGTTCCTGAAATATGGCAAGTGTGTGGGATACAGAACCATGATTGAGTGCGCCGAGCACGTAAGTTTTCACGCAATACTTTCTCGCTTCTGCCCAAATACGATACTTTAATGTCGATACTAATTCACTCGGATAGGTCGGAGACTGTGCTAGGCAGGGAATCCTGCCTTGGTATTGTCTCCCTCTTCAGTGGTGCGCTGGTGTGCGGGCTAAGAATTGCCGATGGTAAATGATTGTCCTCTCTAGTAGGAAACCTCGTGCTCTTGGGACGGGATATCTCTTAGATATGTCATCGCCTGTTGAAGAGAGTTTGGAAGTTGCTGATGGAGGAGGCATTCAGCATTCAGGTGGGAACATTTGACTTCTTGAAATATCAGACAACTAGAACTGGAGACTTTCAGCTTGAATTGAGGTCCCTCTAATGGGACCTGACCCAAAAAGTTGTGATTAACTCGTTCACAGATGTGCTGAACCCCTGCCTAGGCTAACATGCCACGTCCTACGCAATCCGCCTTAGACAGTTGGCATAGGAAACGCGGATGGGCCAATCCGCTTCTAACCCCCATCAGTACATCCGATACCCATACACTCCAGACTGCTGTCTTTGTTGGTTGAACTGTCCCCAGTTCATCGGCACCGGTAGTACGCCCCTCCCTGGAACTGTTGCGGCATGAACTGCCCACCCATCATGACAGGGTTCGGCTGCAGCGCCGGAGTCTCTCTGCCGTAGAATCGCGGAGGGTTAGCCGGAGCGCCGAACGGATCGTGCTCAGTGCGGCGTTTGTTCCAAGGACTAGGGCTCTCTAGGCTCTCGATACGGCTTAACCAGTCCGCCCGAGGTGTGCTGTCTCCTGGTCTGCGGTCGCGGCAGCGATAGCTGCGATGTGTTGTTCACGGCCAAGGAGTGGCCGTGGTGGTGGCCCCTCGTGGCCGTGTTAGGGAATGGCGTGAAGGGTCGGAGGTAGGCATATGGGGAACTGCTTCGCAAGGTTGCCCGCCTTGTCATCAGGCGAAGCAGCCCAGCCGCGCCAGGGCCCACGTTCTTAGCCTTGGCCTGGATGGCTGGCCGGCCGAGGCGGTCGAGGTGGTAGTGGTTATATTCGTTCACCCTATCTTTAGTAGCGTATACTCGTCAGGCGTTTGCGAATCTCGCGACCTGTTGACTGTCTAGCTTCGCCTGCGCGCGGTTAGACAGGAGCTTCCAGGACTCCATAGAGAGTTGAAGCAGCCGCAATTCCCCCAGAGCCGTTCGAAATGCCTGCTGATCGTTGCCACGCTGCCGTTGAACAACCTTCAAGATGACTGTTTTATCGAAGCGCCTATATGCGTTCCTGCCCTTGATCTCTACTCCCTGCACATCTTTATCGTAATAAAGCGGCTTTTGTAGCACCGGGGGAAGCTGAAAGAAATCGCCGACCAAAATGATGATTAGGCCGCCGAAGAACTCATCATTCCTATTCGGGAATGCCTCGCGGAGACGGTCGTCGATCCATGACAGCTGACGCAGTCCCAGCATGCTCTTCTCGTCGATGATCAGGTACCTGATATCCTTAAGCTTCTTCTGGAGCTGGGCCTTATCAATGGGAGACAGGGGCTTGAAGTCCTTGTTGATGGGCAGGTGTAACAGGGAGTGCAAAGTGGTGCCTGATATCTGATTTCCCGCAACGCCGGTCGGCGCGGCCCGCCAAACAGGGGTCCCTCTCCCGCCTGCCGCGGCTTGGAGGTGCGCAGAGATCAGGTTGATGAGGTATGACTTGCCAGTGCCGCCCCCACCATCCACATGGAGTAGCAACTGAGAACGGTTCTGGGTGAGGAAGTGGTCCATCACCGTGTCGTACACTAAGCGCTGCTCAGGATTTAAGGAATCGCGAGCCTCCAAGGGCTGATCCTCCACATCAAGGGCCAGGGGGTTTTCCGCCTTGCGCTGCTTCCAATAGTCGCCGTTGAGAATGCCATCGTCAGTATACCGTCCAACGTGGGGGATCCAATCGTAATCGACATCGACATCTCGGCGGCCGAGGATGTCGATATTCTCTTCCTCCAGCGGCCGGTCAGGCAGCATGCGGGCGAGTTCATGCCAGTCCTCCTGCGTGATAGGCTCCTCACGGAGCTCAAGCTCAAATTCATCCTCTTCTGCCGTCAATTCCTCCGTGCCTGGCTCCCCATAATGATCGTCTGCATGGGAATCGGGGTGTTCTCTGCAGCACTTGTACGCAGCCGCGAAGGAGTCGAACCGCTGCCCTTCCATAACGAGCAACTCTTGTGGAGAGCGATGTGGATGCACCATCATCAACTTCACACGGCAGAAGTCGTTAGATTGGGAAGACGCCGCCATGGACTTATATCGAAGGAAGTAAGAGAGAACCCTCTTCTTCGCGTGAGATGCGAGCCTCCTCCCTGTCTTGAGATTGTACGACTGCAGGTACTCGAGGTAGGTGACATCCTCGAGCTGGCCATTTCTCTCCAGGTATTTCCTGTAGCTGCCGATGGTCTCGCTGGCATCTTCATCGACGCGATACGAACGGCCATGCTGCTCTAACGGACGGCAGTCTACGTTGACAACCATCCGTGTGCCTTCCTGCAGAGGGATGTTGAGTAGAAGGTGGGAAATCTCCTGCGCCGAGTAATCTCTCTCGGCGATCAGCTTGTTCATAAGGCGAGAGGAGAAGGACAATACAGGTTGAAGGCGTGCCGTATGCGGCAAGACCTGACCTGCAAGCTTGCAGTAAGGATCAGTCTTCTTCTCAGATTTGCTGCAATATTTGGCAGCGTATGTAATAACAGCCTGTAAGCTGGTGCATGGAGAGATGTCGATGTTGGCTAGCCACCCTAGGATGATAGCCGGATTGAAAGTGGTTCATGAGGCTGTCGTTCCGGGCCGCCTCGAAGACGTAGTACGACCTTCCTTCCTGATCACCGCGGCCAACTCCCGCAAGGCACGGGGGAAGTCAAAACGACACTCCCTCTCTGGATTGGCCGCGTTGGCCGCCTCGATATCTGCGGCAGCGCCTTCCATATCCCTTGCTAGGTCGCCGGTTCTCTTCCTCACGCGCAAGCAGTACATGGTATTGCACTTGTGGCGCTGACAACGGTTCACAATTTGTAACAGCCGCAAGAATGTCATCTCTATGCTCAGGGGATCCACGCTCAGGGGATTACCTTCGCCTTGCGGCATTGCCCTACTCGGCTCGGGGTTAATCGCCGTGACGTGGAACCCCCACTTCCGCGCAAATATGTCACGAGCGGTTTCGTCCTCCATGTCGGCTTCTGGGCAACCATCCATCCAGTACAGGCCATGATTATGTGGACTCCCACGGCCCTGCCACTCGTACCGATCCCAGTAATCCGTGATGTTGAATTTCTTCTTCAGCACGATGTCCCTGAATAGGGAGTATCGCTGGTAGAAGTGGAAAGCAGCAATGTGAGGGTTCTCCCGCAATAGACGACGCGATAGAGCCATCCTCTCCGGCTCGGAGGCGGCCAGCCAGTCTTCATACTGGGGCATACGCTGATAGAGGCTCCGCCAGTGTAAAGCTGCCGGGCTAAACGTGATGAATGCACCAGGGCAGCCAAGGTTATAGGCATAAGCCTCGAGGTCCTGCCTCTTTTTGTTCCAGAAGGGCCGCGTACCGCGAATAGACGCTGCATGCCTTGTGATCGACTTGATCAGCGCCTGCGCCTCGTGCTCAACGTAATCCTTATAATCAATCGAGCGTAATCGAGGCTCGATAAAGTCGGCTCTACCGTCGGGAAAGAGGCAAGGAAACGCCAAGGAGAGCAGGGCATGAGAGCGATTGAACTCGTTGATGGGTGTGTGTCGTATATCCGGGAGCCGCAGCTCACGTTGCGCTTGCGGCTGGAAGCTCGAGGAAAGCCCTACATCAGCTTCTGGTTCTCCGGCGAGAACAGCCCGCAGAGCATCGAGCTCCGTATCCTTGGCCAAGAGGTCCGGCACTGCAGCCTCGTCCTGTAGGTCTGGCTCTGCTTCCTGATCATCCTCGGGTCCAACATCGGCAGCCTCCACCTGACTCCGAGGGATAGCATCCAGGACACTGCCGTCCTGAGGCAATTGGCTCAGCCGCTCTTCGTCAATGACGATGCATCGATAGCCAGGATGATGGCGGCGGAGGTATTTAAGCCACATGGCGACCGGCTGGCGGCGCACGCGGAACTGGCGGGAGAATTGTCGGCTGAGCATTGCGTGGGACGACGTGTTGGCAGGACGCAGTAATACAGTGTTCAGCTCCTGCGGCAAGAGCGGGAGCTGGTTGTACACCAAGCCGACCTCGCGGAGAAAGTGAACTACGTGGCCCCGATACTTGTACTGCTGCCCTCGCACAAGCATAATGTTCACATGGACGTGAACACGGGCAATCAAACACTCTTCTGTAGGTGAGCTGAGGTAATTCATTCGGGACAGGGCCAAAATCTAGCTGGTTATCCGCAGAGAAGAAATACGGCTCGTCCGGGCGGCGTTCCTCATCCTTTCGGTAGCAACGCGCGCAAATGCCATCAGAATCGATCTTCATCTGGAACCAACGCTCCTGGCATCGGCCGCAGTATTCCATCTGGTCATTGTCAAGCATAGTCCAGAACTCGCGGAGGATTACCTTATCGCGACTAGTCACGGCGCAAGCGTCAAGGTCCCCATTGCACACCGGATCCTGTGCGTCAAATACCGCCGATTCTTCCGGCGGAATTATCACTGGACTCCGATACCGCCGTGGTGGCCTCAACGATGGAGTTTCCCTTCGAGATTTCCTCGGTCGCCCTCCTGTACCAGGCGCAGGACCCCTGCGACCACGCCTCGGCTGTGCGGAAGGCTCCCGCAAGCGACGGCGAAGAGGGCTTTGATCCACGGAATTATCGTCGTCCCCTGGCTCGGAGTCACACTCTACCCCTAATTGCTCGAGGTACCTACGTGGTCGAGCAGGCGAAAGGAGTAAGTTGAAATAGTCCTCGACGTCAATATCCGATTCGGAGAACTGGCCCCAGTCATCTCCCTCCTCGGGTATTCCGCCCCCCTCTAGAAACCCCCCACGCTGTTGTCGATCCTGACTCCTCGCTGCATTACATGGTCAGACCGTCAGCCTGAACAAACTACCAGCCATACCACGGGAATACCTTCTCCAGGTTCATCAGCCTCTTCAAAGACGCCGAGTTGAGATGTCGAGGGCGTCAGGGAGACGGTCTCCCCTGCACGGCGACGTGAACGATGGTCGCGTTGTA